AACATTTTCTGGGTCTAAGAAGCAAATTTAAAGCTGTATGTAGAATGTTCTGGGGCTTTCTCAGGACCGCTCGGCGCAAAATGGAAAAACGAAGCATTCTTTATGTGATGTGGTATTTTCGTTTTTTCATTTTTTTTTCCGGATTTGCAAATCAAACAGCTAGGGTTTAGCAGCAAATATCCTAAAACTACTGCTTTTTAAGGAATTTTTTATGATATCACAGAATTTAAATTATGAATACTTGCAGCTGCTGCAGAAGAAAGCTCGAAAGATCCGAATTCATGCATTGATTCCGATCCAAAATGTCCGCAATGGGCCAGCCAGGGTGAATGCCAAAGCAATGCTGTATGGTAGGTCTGTATGCAGCGATGTTCATGTCATTTCATTTCTCTCATCACATTTTATTTAATGTGATGTAATTTTATTTTGAAACGGAATTTCTGCCGTTGCCAAGAAGTTAAACTCAGATAGTCCTCCTAACATTTTAGTTTCCCAGCTTTTTCGGTCGCCGAGTTGAAAGTAGATGACAGTGTTCATTCGCCTCCGAACACACAGGCACACAAACATACAATATGTATATATATATATGTATATATATATATATATATATGCATGTGGACAATATCTCTACAATATGCGCTTTTGCACTTGCAAAAGATGCAAAAACACGTGATAAAAAAGCAAATATGTGACATAAAATGTTTGCAAAAAAGGTGCGTCACTCGCCTGTGACTATATTTGTACAGATGAAATTAAAAATCCGTGTTGTTCTGCAGGATGATGGCCAACTGTCGGCTGTCATGTCACAGCTGTCAAGGTGGCGATCGAGCATGGAAGTTGCGGAATTATATTGCGTCAAAATACGACAATGCAACAAATTCAAACCTGTCCAGGATTGTGAGGGTTGAAAGTGTTCGCATTGATCACATCGATATGGTAAAGATTTTCAAGCTGACGCTCGATTTTTGCAATGTTTTAACCGTTTTGTCTGCAACAACGGCTCAAAATCCGTAGCGTGGAGGCACTATTTGTGTGCTTGTGTGTGCAGATTTTCATCTGGGGTTTTCAGCTCAGAAACCAGATCTCAGATTCAAACCTACCGGGCTTGCCGGTGCGATAATGCGTTTTTGCACATGGCTTGAAGTACTCACGTCATTAATTGCATGAATAGTTGTTGTTTATACCCACCTTTTGCGCTCACTAGCTTAAATCATCATAAATTTTACATAAAGTAAATGAACAATTTCCATCATTCTTTGAAAGTAACCTAGCTATTCAGTGAGCAGTTTTCTCGTCAAAATTTTTAACTGTTTACACGTGAGAACCACGCATACCTGAAGGCTGAATTTGAAGTATTTAACTTGTACTTGGACAGGGAACATTACCCCAAACTTTCAGCTTTCTAGCTTTTCTGGTTCTCGAGTTAGTAATTTTCCAGCCAAAAGTTTCATACGCCCTTGCGTGAGTACCACGCATATCTGGAGGCTGAATTTGACATCTTCAGCTCACACATGCACAGGGAATATCCCCGCAAAGTTTCAGCCTTTTAGCTTGTCTGGTTCCCGAGATCGTTTCGCCGCCAAAAACTTGTGTATTTTTTTAAGACTTTCGTACGCGGCATCCAGGTGTGAGCGGACGGTAGTAATGAAACGGGAGGTTCGCGCATGGTGTGAACACATACTCTCAAAATTTCAACCTTCTAGCTTTTCTGGTTCTCGAGTTGAAAGTGGGTAACAAAAAGCGCGAACACACAGACAGCCTCTTTGCCAATATGCGTTTTTGCAATTTGCGTATATGCAAAAACGCATAAAGACTAGAAAGTGAAAATTTTGGAAGGTGTTTTCAAGACCGCATGCGACCCAGCAAAGTCTTACGTGCGGAAGCTTGAAGATCTAGGCGGGGAGTTTTTTCGCCCGCGCGAGATAGGAAGCTAAAAGAAGCAAGATGGAAGGCTAAAAGGATTGTACTGAGATAACCCGGTAT